TGACCTGAGATGACATGATGTGAATTAGAGCTATAGAAATAAACTGAATAGAGCTGAATAACTCATTTAAACTGACGTCCATCTGAGCTGGATTTGAATTCAATGATTAATCCAGGTTGTTTCCAGCTAACAGCTACTTCAAGGTGAACCAGTGAAGCTTTTCTTCTAAGACAGTTTGATTAAAGGTTAATGATTACTCTGACTGACTGACATTCAGCTTCTCTCTCTGAGTTTTCTTCTAGGAATGTAAAGTATTTGCACCCTAACCCTGAAGATTCTCTACTGTGACTAGCTAAAGGTGTTCAAGCATAAACTGGATAGTTTGGCATCAACAGGGAGAGTCGGCTCCTCCATTCTGGGCAGAAATCAGAGACAACGATGGATTCCCTGGAGAGCCGTGCCAAAACAATGCTGCTGAGGAAGAGGATGGCCTCTATTGTTCCCAGAGAAGATCCCTCCCAGCGCAAAGGTCGCCTGAGTCCAGACCCGCTACAGAAACCTACAGGCTCTCTGTTCACATTTTCCATCCCAGCATCAAAATAAAAAGAGGGTTTTAGTGACGCCTGATTCTAAAGTCCAGAGTCACATTTTTAGTTTTTTTTTTTTCCTGAGACATCGCTCCAACATCCGGCCCTCCCAGTGAGATGAAGTTCTCCTCACAGTGGACCGAACGCAGAGGAGATCTGAGGGGAATTCCTGCCACCATCCAGGCCTCCGTGACTCAGCCAGTGAGTCGCTGACAGGATTAATATGAATGTCCTAAATTCCTAAAACTCCTTCCTTCCTGTGTTTAATCTGATCCCAGCTGAGCGGCTCCCACAGCGCCTTTATGGACCCGGCTTTCCTCCAGAACCTGGAGCATCAGTCCAACATGTCGACACCAGGATTCACAACACGGCTGCTGTGACTCTCACACAGACAGTGGCGAATCTAGAACAAATGTACGAGGGGGCCAGGAGGGGGCCAGCGTGTTTTCATTAGGGGAACAGAAAAACCTGCAATAAAAAAACGGGGCAAGGAATTCAAATATATTACGATAGCTGCATGAAGGGAAATTTATCAGGTTTAATAAAAATTCTATGTCTCATTAGGTCAATATACATTCAGAATTTAGTCATTTTACATATTTTTGAATTAATGTAAGTCAAGATTACCGTTTTCTATAAAATCTGAATTAGAACTCAAGAAAAACTGATAAATATAGTATTTTCTTTTTTATTTGTTTTGAATAATTAATATAACATGATTAGTAAGAAAATAAAATGAAATTAATCCAAAGGACCTATCAATAACCATGTCTGTTCCTGCACATATCAACCGTAGAATTTCTTTTGAGTATTATGTCTTCAGTACAGGGGCCATAACAGGGGCCAGAACAATGATCTACAGGGGCACTGGCCCCTGTTGGCCCATGTCTAGGACCGCCCATGCACATAGACATCGCTGCTGTCAGCTGGAAACTACGGATCAGTACCTTTTGGTCTCTGTGTCGCATTCCTACCAGCTTTTGAAATCTAAAGGTGAACTATTAGGTGTTAACTTTGACTAGGCCGTCGTGAGACAAACATAACCAGTTCAGCTCAGACCCCCTTTTGCCTCTGGCAGGTTTCCCTCATGGAACGTGTTCCTCCAAGCTTAGACCATCTTCTAGAAGACGGATGGAGCACAACTCTGGGTTTAAAGCTCAGCTTATAATCCTGTTTTAAACTTCTCTGCAGTTTTCTCCATCCTCTGCATTCCTTGTTTTTCATTGATTGAACAGCTTTTGCCTGGCTGTGTGTTTCCTGGACAGGGCCGCCTGTGGAGCTGGTTGACAGTT